AAAAACGATATTGTTTTTAACGTTCTGTGACCCACTCAGAATTAAGAAATATAATATCGAAATTAAGATTCTAGAGCAGATAAAAGCTTTCTAATATAATAAAAAAAAACGATATTATTTTTAACGTTCTGTGGCCCACACACACAATATTTCAGTAGGGGGTCGGACATTCTGTCCTCAAACCCCCACTTTCATATTGTGTATACTGTTATTTGTAAAAAATATTTATAATTGGTATAGAATTTATTTTTTAAGTTAAAGGGATGAATGCAATTATTAAAAAAATAAATTAGAAGTAATTTTACTTATGTTATTTTGTTAATTATTTATCTGAAAGGCTTATTTCAAAAATTATAATAGAAAAGATTTAATGAATATTAATCTGCAACTACTAGTTTAATTTTGTTAACTATAGAAGAAGAACTTTTTTAATAATTAAGATACTAGAAAATATTTAGCTATGAATTTAATAACCATTATCAAAGAAAAAATATCACAATGTTTATATCATTAAAGCATCAGTAATTTCTTTTTCTAAAATAAATTCTATTTAAGATCAAGTAAGTATAATTAGATTTAAGATTAAAATTAAAATTAAAATTAACATTAGAGTTAGAATTAGTATTAGAATTAGGGTTAAGATTAGGATTAGAGTTAGAGCATGAATTTAGTATTAGAGTATAGGTTTAAAAGTTAGAGTATAGGTTTATGGTTAGGATTAGGATTAGGATTAAGCTTAAATTTGGTGTTAGGATTAGGATACAGATTTAGGGTTAGGATTATAATATAGGTTTAGAATTAAAGTTACAGTATAGGTTTAAAAGTAGAATTAGAATTATATAATAAATAGTTCACTAATTTTACATTTTTCTTTTATTTATATATTAAAAAATAGATAAATATAACAGGTTTATTAAAGATAATTATAATATGCAAATGATTAAATTATAATCAATTATCAATGAAATTAGTAAAGAAGATATTAAAGAAATCTGAAAAATTTATTACATTCAATCTGAAAAAAAAAAATTTTTTTAATATATTATAATTTCTAATATGATTTCATTTTTGTATTATATTTAACTATAATTTCAAAAGATTTCATTTATCATCATTATTTTCATGTAATAATGTCTTCAAATATTACAGGTTTTTATATTTTGATGATTTTAGAAAGATGGTATCAAGATACTTATCAGTGGAAATAACATAATTGTGTTATTTCCACTTATTCCCACTCATATGACAACGGTGGCCAACTTTTGTCGTCAGACCACATGACGACAGTGGCCCAATTTTGTCGTCAGGCCGATTTCCGTCGCTGGGCCATATGGGCAAAAAAATATATTTGACGCATTTAAGTGATTCGAGGAATGAGAAATGCAAGTCATTCGAATGACGAAGATCGTCGTTCGCCTGAAGTTTTGTGTTACATTTATTTATCACGTTTAAATTTAAAATTATAGCAAAATAGAAATCTAAAAGCAAATCTTATTCTTATATAGCATATGCTTTAAAAAGAAATCATAAAAAATTTTCTAATATTATGAAAAGATCTCTTATCGGAACTATTCTAATGGTTTTCAGCTAACTTGTAAGGGTAATCAGCTAATTCCCCCTGGTCATCATAATAAGAGTACGGAATATTATAATAACGAAGAAGAACACCTAATGCTAATACTTCATTCACACTCCAGTCCCGCGCATCAATTTCAATATCCTTGTCGTGACCGTGCAATTGTTTTGATGCAGTGTGATAGAGACCACCCATACATCTTTCGACATCTATGTATTGAGAATTATTAAGTTCGCAATTTTGCTTTAAATATGATACAAACTTTTGATTTTGAGTCAGCTTCATCAAAACATTGTCTGTAGGTTCGCGAAACGAGATAATTTTGTCCTGTGACCGAATCTATCGAGAGAAAAAATAAGTAAACAAAATATGATAAAAATCATTGCAAAATACATAAACAAATATGCAGAACGTTACCGTTGATCTAATGAACTCTAAAGCACCTCTAACATTACACATCCTTTTTGATCGTAAAAGAAGTTCAGTGCGGTGTTTGACATCATTCTCAAGATTCGTAATATGTTTTGATAGTTCCACTTTTTCCTGCATTAAATCCAATTTTTCACGTTCTTTTTTTTCCATTAAATCTTTCAATAAATCTAATTTTTTACGTGGATATTGAATGCTGGTTTAACAATTTTCACTACTATAAAATAGCTGAGATAGGTTATGACAATCTAGCCAGCTTTCTTTGTGTTCTTTTTAGAAGGTCAAATTCATTAGCATTTATTGTATACTAAATAGAGATCAGAGAAGACAAAAAATATACTAACGATACGTTTAATAATATGTTATCATTTATGAAGGTAAATAGTTAAAGCATATACTATCTAGTTTATTATATACATACTATTGAGTATATGCTATTTGGTTATGCTATCGATTAATGCTAGCAACTCTATAAATAATAAATGTCTGGAAAATATCATCAAAAATATCCTGAATTTATCCAGATATATCAGAGAATGTCTGGAAAATAACCATTATTTATCTTAAAAAAATAATCAAGCTTGCTGTTCAGACTTATTCAAACATTTAGAAACATTTGGAATATATACAGAAAGAAATTTAATCTTTTTTTCTAATACAAAATATGTTCAGAATTTGTATTAAAATTATTTGTTTATTTTTCTAATATAGAAAATGTTCAGATTATGTATTAAAATTTGTCTAGAATATGTATTCCCTATAAAAAAGAAATGTCTAGAAAATGTCAATGAAAATGTCTAGAATTTATCTGAAATATGTATATTTTTTTTTAATACAAAAAATGTTCAGACTAATTTTAATCTAATTCTTTTTAATTTTAGTTAGTATATATTTTTATTTTACATTACATAAATAAATAATCTACAATTATATTATTCATGTATTTTCTTTTTTTTTTTTTTTTTTTTTTTAATAAAAAACACTTTTATTTTATTTAACATAATCTTTAAAAAAATTATTTTTTTAAACTTAAATACTTGAACTTGTAGTAGTTAAAAAATGGGCTTTTTGGCACAAAAAGCCCAAATGCGTCCAGAAGGTTTTCCTGGATATCAAAAAATTATACTCATAGCGCTTTCCCTTTGTTTTCATACTTATAACCTTAAGGAAATCATTTTGCTTTCTTGTTTGGTATTCGCTCTGTAAATGTTTGCTTCCTATATGTAAAAATAAATTTCCACTTTAGCACATTCAAGTCCGAAACCTTTTGGTTCTCATCCTGAATAACATAAGTTTTTCGCATATATTTTATTCAAATTGCCTCCCAATAGCATACTGCTTAAATAGCAAGAGAGAACAAGCATGAGGAGGAGCAGAGCGACGACAAATGCGCGTTTAATATAGGAGAATAAGTATGAGTAGGCAAAGCCCTTTAGGGTGACGCCTATGAATATGCATTCGACGGGAGGGAATAATAGCAAGAATATGAGCAAAGCCCTTTAGGGTGAAGCGAATATGGATGTTATTATCCCCGACCCATATGCTATCTTATTTAATGTATGCTATTAAATGAGGCAAATATGAAAACAAATAGTGTCCACACTCTGCGGAGCACTGAAGGTGCAGAGCATGTACACAAGATATGAAAACAAATAGTGTTCACACTCTGCGGAGCACTGAAGGTGCGGAACATGTATACAAGATATGAAAACAAATAGTGTCCACACTCCCTTTTCTTCACATTGTTCAGAAAAAGATAAATAGAATACTTTGTTTTTCTGGCTTTGAATTTATGAGAAGGCGAGCATGAAAAAAAATCAAGTGATATAAATGCATACATATTGTATTCCTGTCACTAGCCCCCACTAGCCTGAATTTTTGCAAGCTTTTGACGCTGATAAAAATCTCGAATGCGATATTTACCTGCATGTTTCCTACAAGCACTATAAA